AACCCCCCACCCCCCTCGAATTTTAGCACACTGACAAACGCTCAGCCACTACGGGCTGCTGCACGTACTCCTACGTTTTAAAATGCCGATGTTCAAAAAAAATTGAAAATAATCATTTGATTTGCGGATGTTTGTTCCGATGCTCGCATCGAGGCGGCTGCCCCTTTGCTATTTCGGATTCCTACGGTCATCCGAGTTTGTCACTCCCTTATAGGCTATGATCATGGCTTGTTGGACTGCTACATAGAAGGATACACGCCTACCGCTGCCAGCGCCGGGAACAGAATCCGGCTCTGTCAACTCAGCGTTCTCGCCTCGTTCGCAACCAACTGAGCCATCCAGCCCGATGCGGGGGCGAGTCCGGACGGCAAAAGACATTCCAGCCTTTGTCTCGCCGGCCCGACACCGCCGGGCACGCCGCTTGCCCACCCCCTCCTCTTTCTCCGTCCCTCTCCCTCCGGGGAGGGCGGGTGCGGTAGAGGGGGAAGAGGTTATTATCGTGTTTCCAAAAACGCAGTAGAAACACGCTGCAATTGGTTTCCAGCGTGCTGTGGAAACCTTTTAAAAACTCGCACCGTGAATCGAAAGGTGTCCATGTCTGCAAAACTCGTTCAATAACTAATTGGACAATTCCAATATGTTACAAAGATTTCATGAGTTTTTTTTAGGATTCCTAAGGTCCTTACATATGAGGGGGGGGGGCACGTTTTGAAATTTTAAGGATTTTAAAACGTTACAGGACATCCATGGATTTGATGCAGTATAAACAAAAGTGTATAGCTGTTCAACACCTGCAAGTGTGCGAATTCCTGTTACACAGATCCAAGTGCTCAAATCGCTACTTATACACTTGTTTGTGTGCAACTTATCAGTTACACCGGTACATGTTTAACAGCCCTGTCTGAACACTTAAAAGTGTACAACTGCTGAGTTGAACACTTACAAGTGTATCACTAGTAAGTTGAGCACTTAGATGTGTGTTACAGGGAGGTTGTCGTGGGTGCGACTAGGCCTCTGTTTGAATACTCGCGGGCCCTCAGCGCCGCGTTATCAGTTAGTTTGAGTGAGAGCGACTGGAGCTTCGGCTGGTCAGAGCATCGGAGCGACAGTCGCATCCCAGCCCTCGGCAGACACACTAGCAGCGGAACAATGTAGCGCAAGGTAGGGCAAGCCACGTGATAAGTAGAGGAGGAGAGGTCATTCATGTAAGTCTTCAATAAACCATATATCTACCACTGAACCAACCACAGTAAAGTATAACCTCAAACCTTCCCGAGTCTTCTAATAGCAAAACA